TTAATTCACGCTAGGGTTGCGAAATCAACTTCTGCATTTGATTCAAACATTTGTAATTATTTAATGGTTAACAGACTTAAGAAGACAATTAAATAAGTAAAAACCTTAAGTTTTCGCCATCAACGCGACATCAAATGATTCCTATTTATTGCTTAATTGTCCTTTTCCATGCTGTTCTGATCTGCAGGGCTTCATTCAGTTCCATTCTCTTCCCTTCTACTACATTAATAAATAAAATGTCACTGGAATCGAAACTCGAATGACAAGGCGAGAAGCCTTTGCTACTTTTAAGGCAACTTTTGACCTCAACTGCTTCATCTTTTATTTCACCATACCAACTACCTGGCATTGATTTTGGTTTAAAATGCATCATGAAAAAAAATACTTGGGGTCGAAGGGTCACGGAGCAACGTCATTGACTTTTCCACCATGGACTGCTGCTTATTTTAAGTGGTCATCATGTTGACCTTTAAACTTAACCATACCCACACTAAAGTGATGAATTTCCGACCTGAATGTAGTTTAACTCCTTCCAAAGCGTTATAATTATCAACATGGCTTTTGGTCAAGTTCATAATTTTAAAATCAATCCGTCACTTTTAACGAATCCTGCCGGAGCAAATTTGCCAGGCTATTTAAAGATTCAATTCAATCAAAGAATTGGCACTATTAACATCAAATAAATGGCATTGCATATTGTCTTCTAAGGTGTGTCAGTACATTTGGCAACGACATTTCTTTGATCATTTGTATCAAGTCGCAGCACAATTGTATTAAAATCAATGCAAGGGAAATGCAAACTTTTTAGCGTTTGATACCTCCTCTTAGACAGCCCAGCCTTTGCTTAAGGAATCGCGTGAATTTTTCTCACCCTCTATCGTAAATACTGAAAATTAATCAAACGCATTTTCTCATCCTTATGTGTGCTTATGTTTCCTCAACCGAACTCCCTTATCCTCTTAATGCCTGCAAACCGATGAAGCGGTTTTATAATGCGTACAACAGATCTCACTTACTATGGCATTTATAATGAGCCGCGCTAATCCTGTTCATAGAACAAACTGTCTTCAAAAAGGCGTCCACAGTATATTTAGCGAATAGAATATTACTACAATATTAATTTTATCAAGTTGATGTTCTGTGATGTAGGTGCTCATCAGGCACATCAGCAGTCCTACTCATGGTCGAATGTGTGGCTTAAATGGCAGTTCTTGAATATCTCTGTTGGAATTCGCTTTTCATCCGATAACAGACTAATCGTTCAATGGGATCTCAGCAATTTATATGAAGAAATATAGATGAATT